AAGGCTATTTCTATAAACTACATTCTAGTTTTAACAAGTGAGTTATAGGTTGCCTTTTGGAAGAAGAATTGTAATAAGGGACTGGCTCTATGAGAAAGTATGTTGTGGAAAGGAAAATGCCAACAATGAGGGGAGCATACAGACCCTTGATCAGCAATGATAGGGCATCTGGTTTGAGTTGAGCCCTGTGTAGGGTGCTGGAAATAGAAGAACAAACATGACAGACAAGTTCCTGCCCTCAAAAAGGTTATGTCTGGGGAGGACACAGAGGTATTAAACAAGTAAACAAATACAACAATACAGAGGAAGCAAAGTAGGCACCAACATGGAAACTGAGGAGAGAGTGTGAAGAACTTAACTTTAAACATGGCATCCAGGAAAGGCTTCTTTGAAAACATGAAATTTAAATCCATTCTTGAGGGCTAGATCTCAGCTGAGAAATAAGAACAGCATGTGTAAGAGTCCTGAGGTGGAAAATGGCTTAGCATTTTTAAGTCACTAGATGAAGCCGATATAGATATAGATATAGATATAGATATAGATATAGATATAGATATAGATATGTAGATATAGATATGAAGCAAAACTCAGAAGAGACATGAAATGAGACAGGAAAGAGGCAGAATCCCCTTTATGCAAGCTTTTGCAGGCTTTGGTATGGAACTGGGATTTTATTGCAGGTGCAAAAGGAGACAGAGAAATAGCATCCTCTTTATGCATTAAGCTCTCCCAGTGTGGGGAAGGACAGGGTTGGCAAGGCAATCTTAGTGAGTTCTCACTGCATTTTGAATCTTTCTAGGTTTTTTGAAAGGTTTCCCAAAGAGTATAAGTGGTATTAAAGGAGTGGGAGAAAAATGAGTATGTTTAAGAATGGACACAAATGTTTAAAAATGGACACAAATTACAAATCATATGCATACTATTTGGTTCTTGTCAATATTCTCCTAGACACATCATCATCCATTGTTGTGGCTTCTGTCTAGATGTCCCCCCAAAGCCTCATGCGAATGAGGTGGGGCTTTTTTAGAGGTGGCTGGATCTAGAGTGTGTGACACTAGGATTGCTTCATGGTGCAACGCTAGGCTAAAGAGCACTAGGATTAAGGGTGTGAGTGCTACCCACCCTAAGTAGTCTGGATAAGATAAGTGGGGCAGGAAGATGCTGTTAAGGTCCCTTGTTGCTTTTGCTACTTTCTGCACTTAATGAGCTGTTTCTTCCCTGCAACACTCCTCTGCCATGTGCCACCCTGCCTTGGAGCCAACCAACTATGGACTGAAACCTCTACAAACTGTGAGTTAAATAAACCTTAACTTTGGGTGTTGGGCATTTTGTCTTAGCAATGAGAGAAAAGTAACTAAGACATCCATATAAAAGAATATACATAGATATAGCTACTTCAGACACTTGAAACTTGTCTGTGGTTAGGAAATATCCAAGGACATCTTACACACACTGTCCCATCTGGGCTCCGAGGTTTTCCCACCATATAAAACCCCTCCCAGTACATATCACATCTTGGGAAACAGCAAGAACAAAGGATACTGGCTTCCTCTTTGGCAAGGATAACGTGGTCCCAGCCTAGAGATGCACAGGTGTGGGACACAGGCATGGGGCTGAGGACTAGAGCAAGGGAAGGGACAGCCCACAAGTGCTGGCCTGCCAGGGCAGAGCATGCTCTGCTATGCTCCTCAGAAAGTTGCTTTGGACAGAAAGCTGGACAGAAGCTTACTGAGGAAATAAAACTGGCTAGAATCTGTTTAGCAAAGAGAAAATAAGCAGAAAGTTGACTTAGTTATTTTTTGTCATATTGCCATTTTATGGTGCTTGATTTTCTTTGTTCTTCTGAATATGAGAGATGAGCACGTGACGCACTACATGCTTCCTCCAGGGAGCCAGGTCAGAAAAGCCATAACCAAATCGAATACTTGGTAAGAAAATTAATATTAGTGCAAAAGCAAAACCACCTAATACAGGCAGAACAAATATGACTGAACTCTTTGCAAGGTAGTTGTGAAAAAAGAATTTGAGAACTTTTTTCCTGTCACGATCATGAATCACATTTAAGAAAGAACAGCCCATCTGATCTGCTCGAATGGATGTTACAGAGGCAATCAGTAGACCGATGTCCACTAGTGGCAAGCAAGTGTATATAGGTGGGATCTATTCACAATGTGATCCTGGATTTCATGTTTGAATTCCTTTCCTTAGGGAATTCTAGTCCAATTAAAGTGGATAATCCAAAAATCAGGTGCAGAAAATGAAAGACAGCACAAAAAGAAGTTACCATGTGACCAAATTAAATTTTGCCATGAGACACTGTCAGTCACTCAATGAAGAAAGCAGACATCAGTTATATTAAAATGATACTTGAGGGGAATGAAGAAAGCAATATGGGCAAATTGATAAATCATCATTATGAATATGTACACTCATGCCATTTTACCTGACCATAAAAATAGGAGAGGAGACAGGAAACAAACAGTGCCTATTGCATAGCAGTAAATTATTGCATTTTTTGCTCAAGTTATCACCCCTCAAAGACTCTTGCCTTCCAGCAGTGGGCCTGCACAGCCACCTGTGTAGACCATGGGTGGTGACTGGGGTTAACAGTATTTGGAAGAACACAGACAGCAACCAAAAGGGAATAGGATTGCACTGTGAGCTACTCAGATCAGACGCGCTGTCACCTGGCCTTACTCTGAATGATGGGATCGGGCTGTAGGATTTCCCACACACTGGCTCAGACTTGTCTCCCAGCAATATGTAGTATCTTTCAATTTTCTGTTCTTTAATGAAAAGGGAGAAAGAAAGTCTTTCCTAATTTTAACAATAGCACAAATTGTTACCTTTTCTGTCCTCCTGCATCAATAAACGATAAAGCAAGCCTCAAAAGTTGAGGCTCGAACATACTATTCCTATAAAGTCACAATTTTATAAGGAAAACCAGCAGAATAGCCACCGTCAAGGGTTAATGTGAAAAAATTTTCTCCTATGCATTTAGGAAATACTCATATGGCTGCAGGATAAATTTCTACCAGCTTTCAACACGTGTGCATTCACACACACACACACACACACACACACACAGATTAAAACTTTAAATACTACAGCAAATGGGTAAGCAGCACCAGAATGTTTTATAAAGTGCTTAACAGTTCACTTGAGTTTACAATCATTAATTTTACTAAATCTTCAGAGCTTCAACACAGAGATAGAAATTATATGGGAAGGCCTATTGTGTTTCCACCTCAAAATCAGAGCTTGTGGTAGAAGGGACAGCGGTGTCCTTCTCTGGTGTGCAGCTATTGCTAGGATGTGGCTGCTCTGCCACAGCCTCCTCTTCTGAGCTCTCTGGCATCACACTGGAATGTGAACGGAAGTGTAGCGCATCACCTTCCGGCTGAAGCGGAGAAAGGAAACGTGTGCCCCTTTACCTTTCTTTCCCCACCTGCCAGATAGACACAGGATCCTAAGGCGCCAGGAGATGATAGTGCCCCCAAGAGGTAGGAAGTCTATGTCCTTAAAATCAGACCACATGGGAGGTCTGTAATGAAGAGCAGACGCTTTGGCCTTTATACGAAATCTTCTTTTCCTTTATTGTGTTTGGGGGTTAACCTATATAGCAGTTAGTGTTAGCCTAACGTAACTACAAAAGGGTACAGGTGGCTATAATTAGTAAATATAATTTACTGTTGATTAGTCCTAGCCTTGGTTTCTTTTCCTAGTTTTTGACATCTGAGTACAACTCAGATATCTGTAGTTAGCTATTGTACTTAATATCTAGAGCTCCAAGTTCCAGCGGAAGTTCTATCCTAGGACTAAAATAGAGGAGGAAAATTTTTGACCTGGGATAACTTATTTTTTAAAGCAACACATCCAGAGTGGAACACGGTCACTTTCTTGCTAGAGACAACTAGCATTTGATAGGCAAATGGAAACCAGAAGGACTACCATCAGGAACCTAAAAGCAGAGGAGCATGATGTCAGGAATATGGTGGAATAGGAGCTATCTTCCATAATTTCCCTACAAACGCAATTCCCTCAACCACGAAAGAGAGTTCATGCATCCAGCTAAGAAGTTCTAGGACACCACCAAAGTAAAAACAATTCAAGAATAGAATCATGGTATAGGGTAAGAAGAACAGTTTCACTTTGCATACATCACTCCTTCTCCAACGTGGCTCAGCACAACACCAAGAGCCATCTCTGCCTGTAGTATCTCCCATGAGGGAAGGTAAGAGTATAGTGATAAACACCTGGCTCCTCCAGCCATACAAGATGCTGTGTAGGAGGCCCACTCTCTTCTTACTACCACATTCACTGCAGCATTATTCACAATAGCTAAGACATGAAAATCAGCTAAGTGTCCAACAACAGATGAAAGGATAAAAAGCATGTGGTATATCCACGCAATGGAATATGTATGGTTCAGCCTTTACAAAGAAGGAAATTCAGCCATTTGTGACAACATGGCTGAGCCTGGAGGACATTAAGTGAAATAAGTCAGGAACAGAAAGACAAATCCTGTACTGTGTGATTGCACTTATATATGGAATCCAAAAAAGTCCAACTCATGCAAACGCAGAATGGAAATTGGGTTTCCAGGGGCTGTGGAGTGAGGAAAATGGGGAGACTTTGGTCAAAGGGTACAAACTCTAAATTATACGATGAATAAATTCTAGAGATCTAATAATGTATAGCATAATGATTATAGTTAACAAAAATGTACTGTATATTTGAATTTTGCTAAGAAAGTAGATATCAGGTGTTCTTGTCTTGCACACAGAGTAATTGTGATATGTTAATTAGATTTACTGTGTTAATCATTCCATAATGTGTACATATATTAAAACATTTTGCTGTAAAACCTAAATACATGCAATTTTGTATGTTAATCCTACCTCAATCAAGCTAGGGAAAAAAATAACCTAAAAGTTAGAGCTACTGCAACATTGGCAAAAAGGCTGTGTGCTCAGAGGGACTGATCATCTTGCATTTACCTTTGACATCTTTAGTCTCTTGGGTACCAGCCCTGCAGAGCAGAGGATTGTGGGTAGAGCTGTTTGACAATACCATCCTAAAGAAAGCAAATAGCAGAAAGAAGTTATACACTTATGGGTTTATAAATTACATAGCCTCTAACTTAGAGGGATTTTCACCCACCTTTTCATTTGATTTCTTAAACTTTTGCTGCTTCTCTTCCTCTTTCCATGTTCCCGACCATAACCCCACACTTTCATTAAATCAATCTGAGTTGGATTTTCTCTCTGCCTTCAAGGGATTTGTTTGTTCTCTGGTTTGTTGTAAAACAGTAAAATTTTCAACTTCTGTGCATGAAAAGCTCAAACATTAAGTTCATAATTATTTCAACAAGACTTATGCGTGTTTCTCTAGGGAATTGCTTTCAAAATAAGATAAGTGCTATGCATGCAAGAGGAATGATTACAATAATTATGCTGGTTTCCAAATAAAACTTAAAAGTTAATGGCAGTGGGATAACTTGGTGACTCACAGATGCTGTGTCTATCCTTTCAAAGCCATCTGTATCTCAGTTTCCCTGAATACAGACATGCCATTCTTTTAAGCAAGAAGGAGTGTTTTGGGAATCACAAATTATTTTGCACAGAATGGACAAAGTCATCGGTTGATAAAGTGCAACACATCATAGCAATTACTCAGTAAGCGTGGAGACTACGTTATTAGATGCAGACAAGTTTGGATTGTTATAGCATCCTATTTGATTGGCTCTGCTGTTATTATGAAATGTCCCTCCTTATCTCTAATACAGTACTTCTTGCCTTCTGACTGTCCTATCTAAAGCAATTCTCTTCCCCACTCCCCCCTCCGCCATTTCCTCTCTACTTTTTAATACCTTATTTCCTAGGTGCAGTTTTAAGTCCACAGCAAAACAAAAAGGAAGGTACAGAGATTACCCATATAGGCCCTGCCTCACACAGACACTTCACTCATTTGTTGCAATCAAAACATGATCACCCCTCCTAAGACCACAGGACTAACTACATTAGGGTTACTCTTGGTGTTCAACAGTCTACAGGGCTGGACAAGTATAACGGTATGTAACCTTCATTGTAGTACAATATATATTCACTGTCCTAAAACACTTCTGTGCTCCACTTATTTGTCCCTCCCCCTCTCCACCAATCCCTGAAAATCACTGATATTTTTACTGTTGCTACAGTTTTGCCTTTTCCAAAATGTCATACTGTTGGAAGCATGTGGTATGTAGCCTTCTCAGAGTGGCTTCTTTCACTTTATAATATGCATTAAGTTTCCTTCTTGTCTTTTCATAGTCTGACAACTCATTTCTTTGCATCGCTGAATAATATCCCATTGTGGGTATGGACCAAAGCTTATCCATTTACCTACTGAAAGACACTTTGGCTCCTTCCGATTTGGGGTAACTATAAATAAAGCTGCCATAAATATCTGTTTCTGTGTTTTCAACCTAAGTTTTCAATTCCTTTGGGAAAGTACCAAGGAGTGCAAATGCTGGACCCTATGGTAACAGTGAAGTTGAATTTTTAAGAAGCTCCCGAACTTTCTTCGGTGACACTGTGCCATTTTTGCATTCCCAGGAGCATGACAGAGAGTTCTTGTGGGTCCATGCAATAGTTAACTGATAGTTAACTGTTGTGTCGATTTGAGTAAGAAACACCCAACTAAGTGGAGTAGCATAGCTCTGGGTGTGGCTGAAGGGATTTACTGAAGACAGAAGACCCCCTGGGTGTGAGTGGCACCGAACAATGGGCTTGTTGCCTGAATGGGATGAAAAAGGGAACAAAGAAGGAAAGTTCGCCTCTGTTTCTTTGAAGGAGCTCCAGTCCTCACTGTGACCTGGGATGTCGTCTCCTGGCTTCCAGCCCAGACCCTTCAGCCTCTTAATACTGACTCCCAGGGACACTACAGTGAGCTCCAGGCCTTGGACCGTTGACTGGATCCTTCATACCTGTGCACTCTTCCACACCTGACTCTGTATTGTTAGCCTTTGTTAGCCTGCCTTGTAACTCTTTATTATTTCTTTATTAGATGTGTTTCTCTAGTGAGCACTAACTGATAACACTCCACATTCTTGCCTTCATTTAGTGTTGTCAGTGGTCTGGATTGGAGTCATTTTAATAGGTGTCTAGTGGTATATCCTTGTTGTTTTAATCTGCATTTCCCTAATGACCTACAATGTGGGGCATCTTTTCATATTCTTATTTACCATCTGTGCATTTTCTTTGATGAGGTGTCTTTAAGGGTCTTTGATGCATTTTTAAAACAGTGTTTATTTTTGAATTGTTGCATGTTAAGAGCTCTTCATATATTTTGGATAACAATCGAGTATCAGATATATTTTTGCAAACATTTTTTTTCCCTGTTTTTGGATTGTCTTCTCATTCTCTTGACATTGTCTTTTTTCACAGAAGTTTAAAATTTTAATGAAGTCCAGCTTATCAGTTATTATCAACTGACAATGCTGAGGACTCCTGGTCAGGTATGTTGTAGGACACCCTTGAATTGACATTTCTCTCATGTTTTTCTCATGACTACATGCAAGTAGTATGTTTGGGGCAAGAAGACCACAGAGGTAAACTCACTTTCACATTATACGAAGGACACAGACTACCCTGTGACTTATCATTGTCAGTATTAGCAATGGTTTGAGGTAGTGAGGGAGCGTTTGTCAGGTCTCCTCACAGTAAAGTTCCTCTTATTCCTTTCTGTATTCACTGGGGAAAAGTCATTCTGCATAGCTCACACTTAGGGAGTAGTGAGAGTCCTGTCCTATCTCTTTGGTCATGAAGCAACTACACAAATACTTTGAAATTCTTCCAGTATGAGAAATTTGTCCTTTCTCCCCCATTAAGTATTTATTCAATTATTTATTTCTTTATGCCAGCATAAACTCATGGATATTTTATTTATATTTTGGATTATAATTCTCTCTCTCTCTCTCTCTCTCTGCTTTCTTTCTTCCTTTTCTACTACAAATTTTACACCTTTGAGTTCTTTTGGTTGTCCCCATCATTTTGATTTAGTTCCTGTGTTGATGCTTGTCAATTGTTTATGGTAGGTATATTTATTGCTAGTATGGAGAAGCCTTAGGAGATGACTACTTCTCAGAGATGTCTTCTAGGTGGACTCAATTTTGGGTTTTGAGTTTGTTGCAAGATCCTACCTCTTCATTTTATTGAGGATGAGAAATCGCTGCCTATTTAGCCTAGCCCCTGGTTCTTTGGCATTGGCCTAAAGTATTGTTTATGACCCTCAGGCAATCTCAGTCTCAGTATACAAGGAAGAACAACTAATTAGAACAATTATGTCACCTTGGCTAAAGTAGTACAATCAGTAACAACAATAGCATCAAACACACTCTAGAAAGTGACAAACTGTGGTAACCATGAATTTGTCATCTTTAACTATATGAACAAGATCTGTAGTTATGTAACAAAATCTAAAACAAACCAGAGAATTGTAAACAGCAAATATCCCCTCAATATGGCAATTTTACCCTTAGGGGAAAAAGTTTAAAAGGGGATAGGGGGAAAATCAAGAAATAGAAGAAGAGAAAGAGATTAGAAGCAAGGCTGGAGGACAAAGGAAGATCACACAAGCTTTGGGAACAGGTGAAGAAGATGGGTGGAAAGAAAGAAGAAACAGAAACAAGAACAGAACAAAGCAACAATCAAAAAGCTAGAAACAATGTTCACACATGTAAAACCAAGAATAAATAATCAGGAGCCAGGAATTTAGCTCAGTGGTTCCGCCGCCTGCCTCACAAGCAGAAGGTCCCAAGTTCGATCCCCAGTACCAAAACAAACAAAAAGAATAAATAATCAAGAAAAAGATAAAAAAAATTAAAAGTGAAAAATAACAAAGCAAAGAAAGAAAGAAAAGCAGAAAAAAATGTCCTCTTCAGGGTGTATTTCTGCTTTCACAGAGAGAGGAGGCAGACAGAGCCCAGATCTGTGTTGACTGATCCCAGCAAGTCAGCAGTAGAATTGTGGAGGTGGTGGATAATCCCAGAAAACCTGGGCTTTTAGTTTCACTGAAGTTTAGGCTGCGTCTGGTTTCTGGCTGTAAGGCTGGGACCTGAGCTGTTCAGCCCACAACATTCCCTGTGCCTCCTTCCAGCTTAATTCACTCCCTGACCTCCTGCTGGCTTGAATTTGACTGCACCTCACCCTAACACTAGAAGCCACTAGATAGAGCCAACTCACAGCTGCTTTGAGTTCTGAGCTCTGTCCTTTCCAAGATGGCAACCAGCCAACCACCTTCTCCTGGGGATGTCTGAACCTGAATAAGTCACTGGTCACTGGTCCATTCCAATGGTGGGTTTCTCCGTGGATGCCTCTGGAGTCGCTGATAGTCACCGTGTGTCTGCAGTTTTCAGCCCCTCTCCCATACTGCAAGCCAGGGCTCAGGGAGAAAATGCTATTTGCCCCCTCCCTCTTCCGTGCTATGATCCCTCTCTTTGTTCTGCCCATGGGCTCCAATTCTCACTTCAGATCCTTGCTGGGTCCTGGTGACCCACTATCCTCCTCCTTTTCCTCATGTTGCTATATTCCAGTGCCTGGATTCCAAATATCAGAGAGGCTTTTTCTCTGCTGCTCATCATTCCACCATCTTCCCCTATCATTTTGTTGTTTTGTCTTTTGGCACTTTTACATTTTCTGGCACTATAAGATACTCCACATTTATCATTTATATCTCCTGCCCTAGTCTGAGAATCAATCATTTCTCCAAGAAACGATGTTCTTTTTACCAGAGAAAGGTATCAGAAACCAAAATTGGCCACCAGATGTGCTTTGTTACAAAGTATTGCTCCTAAGTCTCCTCAGCTAGTGGTCCACATTGACAGGCTAAGAATAATGACTTTCGTCCAAAGAGAAAAAAAAAAAAAATATATATATATATATATATACTAACTTGTGTATAAATATCATTAGAGGCTCATCATTTATAAAGTGATAATATATCCTTTTTTATATTATGCAAAACATGAGTCATACTGATGTATCCATTTTTAATCTATTAACACATGGGTCACTCTAGCCTCTCCCTCTTACCTTTTACCAACCATTCCAATAGCAAGAAACCTGCTTCCCACCATTTATCACCCATTTGGTTACTTGTTCAATTCCAGTACTATATATGCATATAGTGGTTTCAGAATCATTACCCAAACCAATATGGGAAATAACTTTATCAGCTATAGTACAGTGCTTATGTAAAGTTCCTTTACTCTTTTGGTTTTACAAACTCTATTCATTTCCAAAGTTACTTAGCCTTTAATCTCACACTGCCTTCAGTGAAGTTGCTCCATACATTAACATTTTCACAATCTTTATTCTTGGCTCTTCCAACTTCCTAAATATATATATTTTTCATACTGGGGATTGATCCTAGGGCCTTCCTATGGATCAAAATCCCCAGCACTATTTTGTTTTCGGACTGGGTCTTGTAAACTTGCTAATTTGCCCATGCTGGGCTCAAACTTTCAATCCTCCTGTCTCAGCCTCTCAGAGTACTGGGATTGCAAATGTGCCACCACACTCAGCTAATTTTTAAAAATTTGCATGTTCTCCTTGTATAAAATTTGCATTTCTTGTTTGTGGTATATAGTGCTGTGGGCTTTAACAAATATTTAATGTCTTATATTCACCATTACTGTATCATGCATAATTGGCTCACTGACCTAAGACATCACTATATTTCACCTGCTCAACTCTTCCTGATCATCTGGCAACCACTGATCTATTTACTATCTTAGTTTTACTTTTCTGAAAGTTATACATTCAAAATCACACAATGTGTGACTTTGTTCAGACTGGATTCTTTAGCTTAGGAATATAGATCTATGACTCATTCATATCTTTTGTGCCTTGATACCTCATTTCTTTCTGCTATTGAACAATTTTCCATTGTATGGATGCACCAGAGCTTATTTGTCCATCTTTAAAGGACATCTTGATTCCTTCCAATTTATGATAGTTATGAATAAAACTGCCATAAACATCCATGTGCAGGTTTTTGTGTGGACATAAATTTTCAAATCAATTAGGCAAATATCTAGGAGCATGGTTTAAATACTAAGACTATGTTTAGTTTTATATGAAACAACTTCCCCTCTTTGTTTTTAACAAATCTTCCTGTGTTTCTGTTTCTGGTAATTGTTTCCTTCATCAGACTGTAAGCTTCTTGAGGGAAGGGACCATGTATGTGAAGCCACAGCATCTGGTTTAAGACCTTATACATAGCAGGTCCTTAATAAATGTTTAATGAAAGAACAAATTAATTAATTAAAAGCCTTCATGATTTAAAAGGGGTATTCATTTTTTGTTTTTGTTTTTGTTTTGGTACCGGGGATCAAACTCAGGACCTTGCTTGTGCGAGGCAGGCAGCAACACCACTGAGCTAAATCCCCAGCCCTAGAAGAGGTATTCTTTTTTTTTTTTTCACTTTTGGTACGGGGGATGGAACTCAGGATCTTGTGCTTGTGAGGCAGGCGGAGGAACCACTGAGCTAAATCCCCTGACTAAAAGAGGTATTCTTAAGGGGCTGGAAGCATAGCTCAGTGATAGAACACTTCCCTATGCATGAAGCCCTGAGTTCTATCTCCAATGCAGCAAAGTGAAGAGCATATATATATATATATATATACATATATATATATATATATAGTCTTATACCTGCCTTAGAAACTCCAAAATGGAATACTTCCCTTATTTTAAAATTGGCATATAATGGGGACCAACAATGATGTTTCCTAATAGTATAAATTCTGCACCACCCTAATCCCCATTCTCCCAGTGCACATCATGAACTTTACATATTTGCTGTTAAAATTGGTTTAGAACCAAATGATTAAGATTTCCACCAAGTTTCTTCTGTCTTGTAATAATATGGCTATTCACTATCTGGAGTGGGTAAAAAGATGAGGAAAAATATTTTTGTAGACTTTAGCATTTTCCTGTCCTACTACATTGTAAATGATCAGTCATTGCATTTTTAATTTCAACAATCCTCTTTGGACCATTAACCAATTCTCTTAACTTTATTATACAGCCACAACTATAGAATCCTCACATTATATAGAAATATAAAAATGTCTCTATAGTTCTACCAAATTTTCATCCATTTTTGCTCAGAATTTAAGCAGATATTTGTACTTAGGACTAAAATGAGCCAAGAAAGATTATTAAAACCAAATGCAAATATAGAAAATAATCAGTAGTTTTTAAATGAGCTTAATCTGCCCTTCATCTTTATAACACTTTTTCTTAGCCTTTAATAGAACAGGCAGTTCTTTTCTACAATGAGCAGTTGTGCAGACTATATTTATATGTCTGGGATTCCCCCAAACCAATCACTTTGCAAGCTTGGGTCCCTTTGTGGTTGGCAATGTTATAAGGCACCTTGGTTTGAATGATTCATATAATGACCACACTCTGAATAGGAAACAAATTCAAAGTCCTGTACGTTTTCACCAGCTGTCATTTGTCTGCATTTTTTCGCGGCTATTAAATGTCTTTTTTTCTCCTCTGATGAATGGTTCTGGTTGGACACTCGCTTTCAAACATTGTTTTCAGAGACAACCCCAGTAGTGCTTGAAGATTCCCCTGTCTGACCAGCAGTGTCTCAAGGATTGCAGAATTGGCAAAGGGACTCCCAAAGCTAAGTGTCAACAGATTCAGGAGCTGTCAAAGTACTCAGACTAGACTGTTGGAATAAACCAGACAAGGCACGGGACTGAAAAGTACTTCTGAAACATTTTATTTTATTTATTTATTTATTTATTTAGGTACCGGAGATCGAACTCGGGACCTTGCACTTGTGAGGCAGGCGCTGGAACCACTAAGCTAAATCCCCGGCCCAACATTTTAATTTTAAGTACTTTGTTTTGGTGATTTGAAGAAAACCCAAAAGGCAAAGTAATATTTATTAGAGAAGTATGTGGGTTACTCCTCACATCCAAAGGTTGAGACAGTAATCCAACTGACTTTCAAATAAGATTTCCAGAATTTGGATATTTACTAATCAACATCCTAAGGGACAGATTTCTTGAGTCCTCATACTTTTCTAAACCCACACTTACACTTTCTGTCTCACAATCCCAGAGTTCCTGGCAGCTCCCTAATAATGCTGGGGACTAAGTGGTTCTTTGCTGTGGTCCATACTCATTCCTTGGGGCAGGATGCTTTTCCATTCCCCACCCTGGAGGAAACCTGCTTTGTTTAGTACTTTCCAGAAATACTACATTCCCTCCCCACCACAGACACTATAAATCTCCTTCGCTTGAGCTGATGACTTATTTCTATAGTTGCAGTCACCATGTAAAATTGAAGTGAATGTTCTGACCATGGGCCTTTCGTAGGCCTGGCTACAAGTGAGCCTGGCTACTCAGAGTCTTTGGGATGCCTCCTAACTTCAGATGGGGCAAACAGGACAAGTTAGCCCACATTCTTCTAGCTCTGAGGGAACTTTTTAAAGCCTGAAAGTGGAAAAACTATACAAGAAACAAAGTGAAATTCTTAGGAAAATTTTCTGAGGAAAGAACACAAAATGTCCACAGTTTAGTCAAATATTACTATTCCTGTGCCTTCAGGAGCAGGTGGTAGTTCTATGTCATTTCAGGAGTAGTAAATAGAGAATGGAATCATAATTTCAACTGGTAACTGACATTTAGCTCTTCTTCCCACTGACATTTACACAGGAAAATGTACAAGGTTAACGTCTGTGAAGTCTGTCAAGCTCTACAATGCCTCCTTCTTCTAAAAGCACTCCTGTCTATTTATAGTGACATACCAGGTGCAAATGACAAAGGAATCTTACCGTTTACACCCAGGCGCATGCTGTCCTGCTCTAAAAGTGAAGCGGCTGCAGGTGGACTCATCCAGTTGTTTTTCTCAGTAACTGCCTGAGTATGTTGTCACTGAAGAATTGGACCATTGTGTTTCATTCTGCCAAGATGCCCGGGCGTTGTATCTGATCAGATCAAGCTCTTGAGAAGTAAGAGGGCTAAAGGGCAGAAGAATTTGCAGAGTCAAGAACAAGAATTGTGACATAGCTATGGATGGTATGCTCTGAAGTACAAATTTTCAAACCCTCTGCATAATGAAGAACTCATTTCCTTCTGTTAGCAGGAAGCCATCCACTGGGCTCACCAGGCCTTGTAACTCTGACAGTTCAGAGTGCAGAAGCTTAACTGTCTCAGGTATTGTTGCCAAGCAACATATCACAAAATTCCATAAATACTACCCTCCCCCCGCTCCACACACCCAAATTTTTAACAAGCAAATTTGTAAGTGAGATAACTTCTGGTCAGTGCTCTACAAGATATACTGCTTTATAATTATGGTAGGAAAGCACTTGGTAAAATTATTTGTCTACTACTGTGATATAAAAAAATTAATGATTCTTAATGATGGTGGTTTTAAGAAGTGGGAACAAGGGATAAAAGGACAGTGCCAGGTGTCCATTTCCTCTAAAAACCTAGTCTCCAAGTGTGTGGAAAAGAACACAGAGTGCTTGTGATGTCAACAATAGCAGGTGACTCAACAGCTTCTCATATGTCACAGAGCAGTGGCGCTCCTGCTGGTGGACCCTGGGGCCACCCTGAGAGCTGTGAAAATAAGTAGAAGCCCAGGACCCAACACTGTAGGTTTTGATTTAATTGGCTGGAGGAGGATTCAGACATAAGCATTTGTTCAAAGCTTAGGCCTAGAGGATTCTAAAGAGCAGCCAGGGTTAAGAATTAAGGTCATGGGGGGCCAGGGATTTAGCTCAGTGGTTTGGCTGCCTGCTGTGCAAGAGTAAGGACCTGAGTTCAATCCTCGGTACCAAAAAAATAAGAATTAAGGTCATGGAAATGCCACAGTGAACCTTTTATAGATTGAGAAATCATAGCCTTCAATGTGCTACTCATGAGATCACACACAATAATAATTACTCTAGATCTGGCTAATGTGTTTGCTCATTCTCACTTCTCCAGATTAACAAACAGTTCATTGGCAAATCAAAATGAGATTGCTC